TCGCAATGAAGCTCAAACGCCAGACAACGCGTTATAGATGAAGATTCAACGCAGTCAATCGATGATAAGTTCTGTGTTGAAGCAGCAAACTCGAGCCAAAAAGTCAAGAAATCAAGAATCGACTTCAAGTTCAAATTCCAACAACGGTCAGACAATAAATGCAGCACCGGAACCCCTACAGGCATTCTACAAAGCACTGAATAGCCTGAAGGAATTGAAGGAATCCAGAACAGAAGTCATTCCAGAGTCCCGTTACACCGACTGAAGGTTGGGACAATCACATCCAAAGTATTCCAGACTCTTCTATAAAAGAATGAGACTGAAATACTTTGGAGGGGGTATCTGTAGGCGTATAAAATTGCCTATAGGTCCCTTAGCACAGCTCGACGCCGATTTAACAAACGGACCACCGGGCGACGTATCCAAACAAGACCGTTAGCTCGCCAACGCTGAAGCCAAGCTATACGCAACGGAGCAGGTTAACGAGGCGACAAATCGCACCCAAGCATTGGAATGCATCCACTCGCACGCGGAATCAAACCAATGTTTAGGTGAATCACCGAGTCATCTAAACAAGAGCGAACTCGGATGAATCACGATCAAATCAACATCAATTCCGGACTCAAATTCAGAAGTTGGTTTACTGCCATATCAGGAACCCGACTCACTGCCAAATCTGGAATCAAGTCAAAGAGTCGTTGCCAAGTCAATCAACCACACAAGAGAACCAGAACCGGAAACAAAGGACGAAACGGACAAACACCCGGGGACTCGGCCGAAACCGAACCACCCCAGGGTGGCTCGGCCCAAGCCGAGCCACCCTGAGGTGGCTCGGCCAAGGCCGAGCCACCCATGGGTGGCTAGGCTCAGAACTGTGCGCGGGCACAGTTCTGAGTGCCTATAAATAGGCCTTGTGCTCATTTGTTTCAGAGGTTGGAAATTTTGGAGAGAGGCGAAGCCCTGCTGGATTGAAGACTCAGATCTAAAAAAGATCACAACTTTGAAGGCTTGGAGACTTGGACTTTCAGATCCGGTGCTCGGCGATCACCAACGCCAAATAAGGCAGGAGTTCGAGAGGATTGGATTTGAGATCTACACGATCACACTCCGGATCTAAGCTTGGTTCTTAGATCCCGAGATTCGAGCGGTTGTTTCCTTGGTGAAACAATCCCTCCCGGCTATTATTCCCTTGGTGGAATATTACCCGTCATATCGTGTAGATCCGACCGGATCGAGATCACGCGGTGGTCCACGGCAAATAACCCCGGCGCAGGCAAAGAACCCACCAAAGCGAGCGACCGCAAAACAGGAGCTCGCGATTAGTTCGACAAATAAGGAAAATTGTAATCTTTACTTTGTTTTCTTTGATTTTTCATTGTAACCGGATCTTATAAAAAGACCGGATCTTTGTAACGCATAAAGTTGTTAACTGAGATAGCAATGATATCAACAATGAAGAAAGACACGATTTTTCCCGCGAACAACCCCCTGCATTGACGGGAGGGTTATTGGCATTGTGAGCTCCATCCCTATCCGTGTGCTCTTCTTCCTGAACAACCTGATTACGGTGACTTGGTTCACCTTGTTGGTTCCTGAATGCCTGGATTTGTTGCTCATGCATCTCTCTCATAGTCTGCAGGGCCATCTGCATCTCAAACTTGAAACTTTCTTTCTGTTTAGCCAAAGCGTCTTCAAGCATCTTGGCCATTTCTTCCGCGCTTATCATAAATGACTCGCGGGGTTGTCCTTCGCTGGACACTGTATTGTCCGATGCGACAGCAGAGCAGGAATCCGATTCTTCATCTTCCGAAGGCAATCTTGTCCGAACCCTACCATAAGTTCCTCGTGCGATGGCTCCGGACTGCAGACGGGTTACACGCCGAGATGCTTCCAGAAACGACTTGAGATCAATCTGTGTCAATGTCTCTTTGCTGGTCATGTTGGCGGTGACCCTCGGAAATTCTCCGTCTTTAACCACCGTTCTTCTTTGCCGGAAACGCCTATACCTTGGTTTTGGCGTTTCGGTGCCGAGCCTTTCGAACACTGAAATTCTCTCGGGGACTCCCTTGATGCAGTTGCATTGAGACAGTACTACCCGAATGAGCTTGGCACATGGGCACTGAGTTTCGAGCCCTTGAGGGCTTCTTTTTCTTGTTTTGTTCGTACCCCCAGCACGATAGTACAACTCGTCCATTTGATCGGAGTAACCTATCGCGTGTTGGCATGATTTCCCAGGTATAACGTTATCATCCTCGGATGACAACGTTTCCTTCTGAGAGCAAACTGCCTTATTTGGACTTCCGAGAGTCACTCGCCTCGAAACACGCCTTTGTAGACATGAATTCTCAGCGGGCTCCCGAACTTCGATGCGCAAGGTAGTGCGCTTGGGTGCCGTAAACTCTTTGTCATGTTGAGGGTTGTGTCGACCCCCAGCATGTTGATTAGTTCGGAGCCTCTTCATCGGGCCCGAGCGTTCATGGACTTCGTTGCGCTCGTCGGGAATTGGACCGAGGCGCTCCAAGATTGACCTCCTTCCTCGGGATGGTTCGGGAGGTTGAACTCGTTTTGAAGGCTGTAAAGGTCGATCCTCGGCCTGACTCACCACTTTGGACTTTGGCCTCCATATTTTGTGAGTTAGTGGTGATTTCTTGGCTACTCCATTCTGCCACCTTCTACGGGCTTCTTGAACTTGAGCTCGTGCTTGTGCTGAGAGTGCGCGGCGCTTCTGAATGCGATCCTCCAGCGTTGAACGGTTCCGTTTGACACGGATCCATTCGTTCGTTGGTGGCTTGGAGGAGTTGCCATTCATTGGTTGTTGAGGTCGTTCGCCTCTTCTGTTCTTCAGATCCGTGTTGTAACGGATCCCGTCCACAGATTCCATTGCCTTTGCGATTTGTTTCGCAAGGCGCTGACGTTGCCTTTGGCGGGCTCTCTTTGAGAGAGTCACTACGCCCTCGGCAACGGAAGATTCGGCCAGAGCAGATCTGACCTGGTTGGAAGGAGAGATCTCACCCGATGCAGCTTCGGCATCAAACGGGGCGAGATCTTCGTTGGCAGCTTCAACTTCTTCGTACCAACGAAGTTTTCTCTTGGAAGAGAGCTTTGGAGACTTGGACTTGCGAGGGGAGGTGGATTCGGACGAGGATGACAGATACTCCTCGAACTTTTGTTGGTCGAATTCGTACTGAATGTAGGGACAATCATATCCAAAGTATCCCAGACTCTTCTATAAAAGAACGAGACTGAAATACTTTGGAGGGGGTATCTGTAGGCATATAAAATTGCTTATAGGTCCCCTAGCATAGCTCGGCACAAACCGACGAGCCAACAAGGCGACGAGATCGACGAATAGCCCTAGGTCAATGCCAGTCAACGCGTTTGTAGGCATATAAAATTGCTTATAGGTCCCTTAGCTTAGCTCGGCACAAACCGACGAGCCAACAAGGCGACGAGATCGACGAATCGCACGGAAGCGACGGAATGAATCCACCCGCGTGCAGAATCAAGCTCATGAGTTGAGGAATCAACGAGCCATCCAACCAAGGGGAAACTCGGACGAATCACGATCGAATCAAGATCAATTTCGGACTCGAACTCAGAAGCGGATTTACTGCCAAATCAGGAATCCAACTTACTGCCAAATCAGAGTCTCAGATCAACCGAAACACGGACAAACGAGACAACGGAAAACGACTCGAAAAAGTCGGAAAACACCGCCCGCGGGGGCTCGGCCAAAGCCGAGCCACCTCAAGGCGGCTCGGCCTTAGCCGAGCCACCTTGAGGTGGCTCGGTGGCCTGGCCCGAGGTGGCCGACAGTGGCCAGAGGTGGCCGACAATTCTCTTTTTGCAGCCACTGTCGAGAGCCTATAAATAGGCCTAGAGATGTTCATTTTCAGAGGTCGAACTTTCAAGAGCCGAAACTCTGCCGGATTGAAGAGTGAACTCGGAGCTTGAAGACCAGAAGACTTGCACCATTCAGATCTGATCCTCGGCGACCATCCACGTCAGAAAAGGCAGGATCTCGAGAAAACTCTGCCGGATTGAAGAGCAAACTCGGAGCTTTAAAGACCAGAAGACTTTCACATTCAGATCTGATCCTCGGCGACCATCCACGTCAGAAAAGGCAGGATCTCGAGAGGAAGAAAGAACAGATCTGAGATCTACACGGGGCTACACTCCAGATCTAAGCTTGGTCTTAGATCTCGAGAGGCTCGGCCATGAGCCGAGCCACCCCAAGGTGGCTAGGCACAGTGTCGGCCACCCCGAGGTGGCCGACAGTGGCCCGAGGTGGCCGACAGTGGCCAGAGGTGGCCGACAATTCCCTTTTTGCAGCCACTGTCCTGAGAGCCTATAAATAGGCCTAGAGATGTTCATTTTCGGAGGTCGAACTTTCAAGAGCCGAAACTCTGCCGGATTGAAGAGTGAACTCGGAGCTTGAAGACCAGAAGACTTGCACCATTCAGATCTGATCCTCGGCGACCATCCACGTCAGAAAAGGCAGGATCTCGAGAGGAAGAAAGAACAGATCTGAGATCTACACGAGGCTACACTCCAGATCTAAGCTTGGTCTTAGATCTCGAGATCCGAGCGATTATTCCCTTGGTGGATTAATCCCTCCCGGCTATTATTCCCTTCGTGGAATAATACCCGCATACTCGTGTAGATCCGACTGGATCTAGATCGCGCGGTGGTCCACGGATTAACCCCGGCGCAGGCAAAGAACCCACCAAAGCGAGCGACCGCAAAACAGGAGCTCGTGATTTGTTCACAGAGGAGAGTTGTAATTTTTCTTTATTTTTTTTGATTTAGTTGTAACCGGATCTATAAAAGACCGGATCTTTTGTAACTCGAAAAGTTGTAACTCAAGATGACAATTATCTCATTAATGAAGAAAGCAACGGTTTTCCACGCGAACAATCTCCTTTTCTTTATTTTCTAGAGTGAATTTATATTAAGTTTGCCTGTTGACATTTTTTTGAACTATTTCTAATGTTGTTAACAGCTTCCGAAGATTATGGAGTTAGTGGGTCTCAGATACGCATGTAAGTATAAACTTAATTTCATATTTGCGCACATGTATTTCTTATTAGAATTCATCAATGTTCGGATACTTTTACCACAGCCACCAAAGTAAAAGCATGGTAACAATACCCACATTGTCTCAGCTCAAGCTTCCAAACTATTAAAAGCTAGGTATCACACATAAAAAATTAATAAACAAAAGTTAATTTTAATTATCCATCATGTACTTGGGTTGTTGTGCAGCGTCTCAGTGATTGTCTGTCGTTGAAGGAGATTCTTCCCGAGTCGATATATTTAGCTATCTTTAAGTTGGCGTTTGACGAGCATAAAGTTCATGATGGTGGAGAGGTATATATGACGTGACATATATGTATTTATTATGATATTTTTGGTATATATATCTTACGTGGAGTGATAATCTTTTCAGGTTAGAGGAGGTACTCCCGTAGGGAGCAGTAGTACGATACGACGTTCTAATGCAGACGACGTTGATAACAGGGATGCCGACAACGACGATGATGAGGAGTGAGTGAGACTTGTGTTAAGACATATTATGACTTTTGAATTTTACCTATATGTAATATATTTGTGATTTTATTGCATAGTGAATGAATATTATTTGAGCATGCCCTATATGTAATATATTTGTGATTTTATTGCATAGTGAATGAATATTATTTGAGCATGCGAGATGTATTATGATTGTGATTATACGATGAGTATTGTTCGATATTGTGGATTGACTGATAAAATTGGATGAGGATTCATTTGGAATGTGAATGTATATCATGGTTGATTTTATGATATATTATTAAATATTATCATTGGATTGATGTCACTATAGGCTATATGTGTATTCTCGTATGGGAGGCTACTAGAAAAGTAAAAAAAAAAGTTTTACGTAAATATATACATTGGCGACAGATTTAAACATTGGCGACAGATCTCCCATCTCCAATGTTTAAACATTAGCAACGGATTTCCCCGTCGTCAATGTTTATTGGTGATGGGAACCACCCGTTGCTAAAGAAATCCGTCGCCAGTAGTTGTCCGTCGGGAATAAGTATTGGCGATGAAGAAACCCATCGCTAATACTTATTGGCTACGGATTTATTGACGACGGATCCATTTCCGTAACCAATATGTATTGATGACGGATTTTGGGGCATTGGTGACAGATTTCCCCGTCGCCAATGTCCTGTTTTCTACTAGTACGTCAATTTCCTATATAACTTTTCCCTTTTTGGCTGATGACTTTTTTTCCTATATAACTTTTCCCTTTTTGGCTGATGACTTTGTTTCCTATATAACTTTTCCCTTTTTG